TATGCACAATCAGCTTGTAACACTCCAAAGAGAAAGGAAAACTTGAAATCGCATCATATGACCCCTTTAAATTTGGCGATGGAAAAAAACAGGAATTGTAAACCAGCCTAAAGTTTTTATTAATCTTCAAAAGGCTATGATTTAATTGAATGAATATTAAAATAGAATAGAATTCAAAATAAAAATATTTTGTAACAACAATACAAGTCTTTACTATCACTTGGCCGATACCGATATGGTGGCCGATATATCGTGCATCCCTAATTAATTTCTTCTTACAGTTTTAATTTATTTTTGACCAAATAAATGCAGTCTTGATGAGCATAAGAAACTTTTGAACAGTAGTGTACTGTATAGTAAAAGAGAACTTAATATATAAATAAATACATGTATACACTACCATTCAAAAGTTTTATTTTATTCAGGAAGGATGCATTGAATCAAAAGTGATGGTAAAGACATTCATTTATAATATTACCAAAGAATTCACAAAATACTAAGCTGCACAACAACATACATATTATAACCTACATATAATTAAAAAAATTTTTTTTAGCAGTACAGCATCTTGGTGACATCAGATTTAATGCCTGTCATTGTAAACACTCCTTGAATGGCTCATTTTCAGAGGATTATTAATAAAAGCTGTCTAATTACATTCCAAGAGCTTAATCACCCGAAATATGAAGATCACTAAAAATATGTCAACATTAAATAAATGCAACCCAAGTAATTACTTTTTAAGCTTCCATGGCCTGCTGCAAGTCATGATGAGTCACAGCTGCCAATAAACCACTGACAGCTTAAGACTGCATTTATACTTATTTTCTTGACAGAAACTTTTCTACCAAGTGACTTACACACAAGTGGATATTTTCCACAGCTTATTTCTCAGAACTGAGTTTCCTCAACATCAAAGTGTCCATTACTTACGATTTGTCTCTTCTGTGGACATGTTGGCGTCTTTGAGGGCTGCTGCCTGCTCGGCGGCGCGGTGATAAAGACTTGCCTCGGGTTCGTTCTTTGATTGGAGACTGAGCACTGGATGACTTGAGGATCTGCAATAAAACCCAGTTGTTTTAAAACATTTATACGTTTCATATATTTTCTTTTCATTATTATTGTATGTATGTGTCTGGGAAAGTCATGCATTTTTGTATACATGAAAAATATATACTTTTTTTCTGTTTTTATTTGGCTAGAAATATTAGTAGGTGTAATCTGTGGAAAAAAATTTTCTGCCATGGGATAAAAAAAAGTATGCAAATGTATTTTTCATAATTCAGACTTTTTCCTTTGTGATTCCGAGTTTATATCTCACAATTCTGACTTTTTTCTCACAATTCTGAGAGAGATATATATATATATATATAGAGAGAGAGAGAGAGAGAGAGATATACACACACACACACACACACAGAGTTCTGGCATGAAACTCTCAGGGGTTAAAGCAAAACAAAAATCCTGAGCCTGAACTTTTTTTCGGGGGCGGGGCGGGGCAGCACATGCAAATTTATATATAAACTAACGATGAGGCAATAATAATTGGCTCAAATAAAATATCAAAACCAAGAAATTACATGATTGTATTGAACAACACTGTTAATTTTAATTTTAAGCCCTGAACTCTAGATGGCGCAGTCCGATAGGTCTAGCTCAATCTGACCTGGCGACATCATTGTCACATGGCAGCTGATTGGTTCTCTCCTGTATCGGTAGCCAGTGAGCTCGCTGCTCAATATTCAAATACCTGGCTTTTGTTTGCTGTAGCAGTTGGCAGCGCACTTCAGAAACCCTCCACCTTCCCCAGCTCCACCTGTATAGATCTGCTACGGGGTGATTCATGTATGCTATATGGGGGTTATTCATATGTGTTATATGTGCAGCAGCAGTATTTCTTACATGCTTACAGCAGCATGTTGTGGATGTATTAGCAGCAGCGGCGTAGCAGATCTATTCCGCCAAGACCAAATACATTAACATAGTCATGTACATTATCATGCCAATCCCTCCGAGAGTTGTCAAGACAGAAATATATATTTATATATAAACACACACACACACACACATAGTGAAGCAACGATATGTAAATTTATATATAGCTATGAGGTACTAAAGATCATTTTTATCTTCAGTTTGGAGATGAAATTAAGATTTCAAGGCAATTACAATGAAAAAGGCTTGAAATCTTCCAGGTGGAAAAAAGCAAGCAGAGAAAGTCACAGATGAGGAATAATCATCAATCCGACAGGGATCCGGTGCTAAAGAATGACAGATCTACAATCAGTTTATTAAAAAAGGGCCTGAACTTTTTCACACCCCAGGGAGCAAAAGCTGAATCACTCTAACTGTGTTTTCTCATTGGCGAGCGCAGCACAAATAAAGCTAGTGTTATGAAAAGCTCCACATTACGTTCATTAACTTGATGACGTTAATATTAATAATAATTATATAATAAATAATACATTTTATTTGTAATGCGCCTTTCTTAATACTCAAAGCGCTACAACGTACAAACAAATATCAAAAATAAAATCATAGTAATAGTCATAAATTAAAAGCTTCAGTAAAAAGATACATCTTAAGAAGTTTCTTAAACAATCCAAGGAAGCAGCATTCCTAATAAACACAGGTAATGCATTCCATAACTTAGGCGTGTTATAGGAAAAAGCCTTCCCCCCCATGGTTTTTAATTTACAACGAGGCTGATACAAGGAAAAACAACAAGCAGAGTGGAGAGAGCGAGAAGGTGTGGAAAGAGTTACCAAGTCACAAATGTAATCTGGAGCCAGCCCAAGCACTGCTTTATACACTGAACAAAATTATAAACACAACACTTTTGTTTTTGCCCCCATTTTTCATGAGCTGAACTCAAAGATCTAAGACTTTTTCTATGTACACAAAAGGCCTATTTGTCTCAAATATTGTTCACAAATCTGTCTAAATCTGTGTTAGTGAGCACTTCTCCTTTGCCGAGACAATCCATCCACCTCACAGGTGTGGCATATCAAGATGCTGATTAGACAGCATGATTATTGCACAGGTGTGCCTTAGGCTGGCCACAATAAAAGGCCACTCAAAAATGTGCAGTTTTACTGTATTGGGGGGTCCGGGGGGGTCCGAAAACCAGTCAGTATCTGGTGTGACCATCATTTGCCTCACGCAGTGCAACACATCTCCTTCACATAGAGTTGATCAGGTTGTTGATTGTGGCCTGTGGAATGTTGGTCCACTCCTCTTCAATGGCTGTGCGAAGTTGCTGGATATTGGCAGGAACTGGAACACGTTGTCGTATACGCCGATCCAGAGCATCCCAAACATGCTCAATGGGTGACATGTCCGGTGAGTATGCTGGCCATGCAAGAACTGGGATGTTTTCAGCTTCC